GTGTTTCTGGTTGTGTAACGGGTACTTCCATTGGAGAGTGTGTCCAAAACCAGAAGCTGCGTTGGTTGGGAAGAAAAGAAAGCGTTCAGCTGTAGGACCCTTTCGGTGCCTAGCTGCCATGCCACCCGAAGGAAGCACGAGGGCTGGGATACTGCCAGGTTTCCCAAGCCTAGACAGGGGAAGTCAAGTGGCGGAGGTCGGATTCGAACCACGGACCTTCCGGTCAGTAAATTCGCGCTCTAACCACTTGGGCCATCTCGCCCCCGTTGGTTGGGACATGTGTTACGTGTGCCGAATCATCGCTTGCCGAAGGGAGTGCTGTTTTCCATGCCCAACTCAGAGTGGCGTAAACAGAGAGGTGGCCAACCCATGACCTGGCAAAGGAGTATCAAGGAGATCACGAAACGCTTGGGTGCTATCGGTGCTACTCGCCTTCCAAGGTGGGGACCGCGTGATCCTCACTGTGCCTGGTTGGAGACACTACAGGATATGGCTGCCAACCGATGTCAGTGGCGTTCTTGTTGTCAGTTTCAATCCAGATTGTCTGAGTGAATGTCTGGAGGTGTAGGCACCTCGGAATGATTGTGGTAAGCTAGCACTAAGTCCCTTCCCCGTCCACCTTTCCTCTTTTCTTTACAATAAGGCTTTCAACTAAATCATGGTTGTACGGCAGTGAAGCATCAGTGTTGAACACTGATGTCATGCTGTCGATGATGATGCGATGATGATGCAGCGTGCCACAGCCTTGTGTCAAAGTCAGACGGTGTGAGTCAGCGTTGGACTAAGTTCAGTCAGTGTCCCTCCAATAAAATAGCTTGAGACCGTTGCATTTCCGCACTCGCACTCTCGCACTCGCTTGTTCGGAATAAAGCTGTTTTGTTCCCTTTGATGTGTATTTTTCAGGCACTGGAACGGGGCCAGCAGTCAAATACAACAGATTGGCGAATCAGCAGATATAACAGTATTCAATAAGGCAGAATCGCTTCCGCCCGGTCGCTCGATACAATACCCACCCCAATGGCCTCTGCATCACCAGAGGTGCGCAGCCGAACCTACAAAAGAGCGAGGGACAGTTGGTTCGATCACTGTACTTGCGTCCTGTACCGTTGTTTCTGACGGACAACATGCGCCAATGCAGAGGGAATATATCGTACGAGCAAGAGCCACCTGTTGAGCTGCTTGCTTCAGTGTGCGAACATTAAAGATAACTAGGTAGACAGGCCTTCGGGATTTGAAAACAGACTTCGAAGTATTAAGGGTTGTCACTGAACTCGGACGTACAGAAGCTGCAGCTGAGTGTGATTCAGGGCGAGTAAAACGGTCAATCCTAGTGGTGAAACCTGCGGACAAAGTGTTCATATTTGGATGGCGAAGGGTGGAAAACGGAAAATGTGAAAGGGTAAGGAGGGATGCGTCAGTAGTGGCATGTTTCTGCTTACCCGCCCTGCTGTATGCATCAAGTAAAGCGACCCGGCTGATGGTACCACGCGACGGCCGAACTGACATGAGAGTATTGTTAGTTGCAAATAGCTTGGTTGTACCAGGGCTGGGATACTGCCAGGACGCCCACATCTAGACAAGAGGACGATAAGAGCCCTCAACCAAGGCTTATGGCTCAAAAGCCTAGCCGCAAGGCAGCAGTATTGGTCTGGAAACGCACGTACATTACAAATTCTACGGAAAACGTCCCCGGTCTAGGCTTGGCTAACCTGGCAGTATCCCAGCCCTTGAGCTTCCTTCGAGTGGCATGATAGCTAGACACCGGGAGGTTGTTACAGCTGAGCGATTTTTAGTGATCCAACTGACATGCAGCATGTGGCCACGAGAAGTCTTTCCTTCTTGAAGATGTTCGCTGCACTGCAATCGGTAATTAATTGTACCGCTCACAGGCACTCTCAGGGGTCTTGCGGATCAGCCGAAATAATCTTCGGGCGTTCCAAGCTTTCGGGATTTCCTCCATTTCCTTAGCCTTCAGTGTCCACCAGACTTCATGGTTGTTGCGTACGCTCACTTTCGCTTGATATCTGATAACTCGTTGGGCCAAATTATGCTTGGGACCGGCGGGGATATCTCAAGCGTTGTCACTGTTCTGTCTGATATCCAGTACTTGAGCGGGTCTAGTAACGCTATGTCACAGGTAAAACTGTTCACTGTGCAAAAATGTGGTGATCTCATTCCAGCATGAATCTACATTTCATAATTGAGCAGTTGGAATATTGTCCAAATACCGGTTCTGGTAAGTTCGTCTAACTTCAGCATCTGCCAGCCCCTCAGCTGCTAAGTTATTTATAGGTAACCTTGGGAAGCTAAGAGAAGATAGACTTCGAACGGGTGCATGGTCAGAATCCACATAATTTTCCCAAATGAGGGGCAATCAGTTATTGATCCACGCCATTTGATGGCCATTTGATCGATTTGGGCTCGTTGCTTGCACGCTGTTGGAGGACACTCTGTGGCCAGACAACTTCCTTACTGTACTGTTTTGCAGTCAGTAACAGCCGAATCAGTCTTTCACCGAGTCCAATCCAATTGGACCACTTGTGCATTCAGATCTCCAGGAACTACAACGGTGTGTGGTCTTGTTCGCTATAACGGGCCATTCGGGGAACCGTAAAAGATTTTTGGTGTCATAGCTACCGTTTGTTGGGGTGTAGTCAAGCACGACAAACGAGCAGTGATCAGCTTCCTCCCGGTGACCTAAGACCATGTTTACCCATACATACTTTGCTGTACCGGCCTCTGGATCGCCAGAGGTTTGTAGCTGGAAGCTGGGGAAGTCAGTTCAACTTCGACACTTGTGTCCTGGATCCTTACTTCTGACAGGCAACACACAACAGCGGAGAGGAAATTCAGTGTACAGACAAGGTCTGCCTGTTTTTATGCTTGTTTTAGTGTACGGACAATAAAGGCTTTCGGGTTGTATAAACAGACTTCGATGTGTTTTAGTGGTTAATGAAGTCGGACGCACAGAAGCTGTAGCTAAACATGATGCTTGGTGGTGAAAATAGTCAATCCGGGTGCTGAGACCTGCAGAGAGCATCCAATTTGGGGTGGGGTGGGGTAGAAGAGGAAATACATTGAAGTGTAAGAAGGTAAGTGTCATCAATAGAATGTTTTCGCTTTGTAAGGTGACAAGTAAGGCAACCCGGCTGATAACACTGCGCGGTGGTCGATGTGGTATGATAATATTCCTAGTCATGACTTACATGGCTGTACGCAGGCTCAGATACTACCAGGCCGCCCAGACATGGGCTGGAAGGTGATTAGGGTCCTCAAACAAAGCCTTGATTCAAAAGCTTGACCGCAAGGTAGCGGGTTGATGATATACTACGATTGTAAATGCTTTGCCGGCTTGCCTGTTCCAGTCCCTAACCTACCTGGATCAGGAGATTGTGATTCGTCAGACCTATAACCACTGACCAACCCGATATGAGAAACTCTTCAGGTGTCAAAGAGGATTCCATCCCCACGGCATAGCTTACTGAATAATAGGGGCACAAAAACCGCCACACTGCGATAAACTACAGTTCCTTTGCAGTGCCGCAAGGCATTGGTCACTGGACTGGTACCTTTCTTTGAATGGCGGAAAGTATCTTTGCGTCATTCAGAGACGAGACCTCTTTGACGTCCATAGTGAAACTGGACTAGAAGCTATCACGAAGACAGACACCAAAAATATATCTGGCTATCTTCAAGTGTGTCCTTCCCACCACATTACAATAGGTCGGCCCAAAATGCACTCGTTTTCGGACTGATTTCGAGCACTTCCACCTTTATTACTCGCGTGAACTTCCCGACACTGCATAGCCTACGTCGAACTGTTTTTTGAATACATCAACGAAGTTGCCTACTCAGGATGCAAGGTCGTAACCCTCATTGAGGATGTCTAACAAGCCGCAACAAAGATGGCTGCCGCCTCAAATCCGATTATTATGAAACATGCCTAGATGTCCTTGTTTTTTCCGTAGACAGTCGTCTCCGAGGAGACCCAATACTTATGTCTCGTTTGGGCAAGGTCTAGTCCTTGACCCTGATACTACCCAGAGGACATTGTTAAAAGCTTTCCGTTGTTAGAGCACACACTTTTATCAGGTATTTGGAGTAGTTGACGCTTGGAATGACGTTCCTTCTACAGTTGTCCTTGATACATATGGAACCCAATTGAATTCACTTTCTATGTAATTCCTTCCAATGGCAAGGCTACTATCCAACACAGCTCCTAAAAAGTGGTGCCACACTTTCTTCACTTGCGCCTTTCAGGTGAACCTGACCCCAGAATCTGTGACAAATGTCTTACTTCTGTGTTATAAAAAATAATCGTTCAGCTGTAGCACCCTTTCGGTGCCTAGCCGCCATGCCACACTTGTGTACCAGTCCGTGGATCTGTGGAAGTATCGATAAGCCCGAGAACTGAGTTGAGGTGTAACCGCCATTGCATCCGTACAACAATCAATAGCTCTTAAAAACTTTCGTCATTCTGTTATGGTACATACCTTCCATACAATTCGAGGTATGTGATGCCACTAGCCGCAACAGAAGTGTGGGTTAGTAGTGGGCCCGAAGCGCTTATTTTATCAGAAACTTACGTTCCCTTTTGATCTATATAAACTTTGTTGCAACGGAGGTCACGCCGGCGTTCCCCTGTTTGTTCTGCGAAGTTTTGCCCACACGCCAACTCTATATGTCTTATTGTTTCCAGTCCTTTGTTCGTGGACCTTCTTCTTTTACGATGGAAAATAAAAGTGGATCCAACGCAACAGGACTTGATGTAGATTCTGGAAGCATGGAAAAGTCTATACTTCTCATGAAGCACGGCCAATTGAGTGACATCGCCACTCTTCATCAGGGTTTCGATATCCATAGAATGCCCCAAAACTATCTGAACAAACGTTCATACATCGAGAAACTTATTTTTCACGCAACCATGTCGGATGCTCTCAAGTCTCCACTCTCCAGGTTGGATTTGTGGATCAATTCACCAAACGCTATTTAGCTTCACAATGGCCAATCGGTATCTGTCTTGTCTAAATGAGGTGGATGTTATTACGGGCATTCGTGTAAGTGTTTTTCAGTTTTTTACACTATGTCGTTAGGGTCTCAAACTGTTGGCCAAACTCACCCTGGATTCAAACCAGCGCACTTCCATCATGGTTCATCGAATTGGCAACACCTGGATTCTGGATGAGTTTAACATAGATTCATTCCTACTCGCTGGCGAACAATCAGTAAGTTGACTTCCATTGCGTTCCATTGAGCTCCATTCTTGTTACTTCAGCCTGAATGGTATTGGTTACGTAAATTTCTAATGAAGAAGAACTTTTATCTCTGTTCTGAGGCTTTTTCGCGCAGTTCTTTGATTCTCCGGGACTTGTACATCAAATTCCTGTACCACACGTAAGCTCCTTTGGAATAATTTTTTACCGGTTCACACTAGTGTCGGTCATTCTCCTCATTTGGACCTGCAAAGAACGATTGCAAGTTTGTCTTATGGGAACGAGGTTGTCCGGAAAAGCCTCCCGCCTCCTGATTCTTCCCCAGAATGTCTTGGTTTCGGACGCCACGCTGTCACCCAACGGGATACATCAAACACATCAAGCGGATCTTCACCCTCTCCATCTCGTCTCATTGAGTCCCCCCGACACGATGACAACTTGAACCGGTCTGTGGGGTTTCGGTCTCGTCTAGATAATGCTGGCTGCGGGAAACAGGCGTGGACAGCAAATCCGGATGAGTATCTTCACAAAGCTAAGTGGCAGTTGCAAGACCTAAGTTTCCTTGTTGGTTCTGATCTGGCCATTTTTGGGACACCAACACACCCATGTATCAGCTTGAAGCTTAGCCCAATGCATGAGAGCATCAACGTGTTGACCGGCGTTGATATGTGGCTAGAGAACATACTTAACGAAGTACCGGAGGTTGTGATGTGCTACCATCGTGAAGGCATCGTAATGCAAGAATATGAAATCTACAAAACTTGTGATCTCCCAGCTGTTACAGGCTTCGAAACCGAACAGGTCTATCGCACTGTACAAAACTTGGTTATGTTTCTCAAACGGAACGCGACGCAAGAGGGGCACACATACTGGCTTGTCAAGGAACCAGGTTTGGATGTAGTCAAATTGTACGATTTGACGACGTTATGTAACAAAGACGCTGTCCCAGGCCACGGGTCGCAAGACGAATCAAGTGAGTTCCAGCTCATGTTGTCCTCTTTTTTTCCAGCAACTCCTGGTGAAGCCCATATGGCGAAAAAACTTCCTAGTCGACTTCAGGTATTGTGGATGCACTCCAGACACTAGGTGATGATCGGCTTCGTGGTAACTTTGGAGGTTCGCTTCCCTTCAAACTTTGTTTTTGTGCGTATGCTAAGCCCACGCACCAAGCTGTCATGTATGTAATTGTCACAGTTTTATTCACCTCTGGAATAGGGAGGGTACGCCACAGACAGTGCTGAACAATAGTCCGATGTTGAATGTGTGTAAGTACAATCATGGTAGGGTATGAATTAAGATTAGTGTTGTATCCCAAGCAACAGGTTCGATTGAAACGCCACTGGCTGCGCTACTGAACCATCCTTCTCAGTGACTCTGGTCACTTGGTCATCCCATTTTAAGGTCCGTTTTGCAACTTGTTTCAGTCTCATCCCTCCTCTGTTATATTGCTCACTTAAATCGCATTTATGTGCAACGGACTGTTTGGGTATAACAAGCCGAATTGTGTGTGACCTCAGTTAAGTGCAATGCATCACACAGGGAGGAAAATTCAATCGCGATTAGGTACCATAATGTGTTGTAACGTTTGATGGTGCTTAGAACGAAACCTTAAATTCGTTTTCTTGTCATTCGGGTTTTACCCTCCTCCTGAACACCTGTTACGTTTCATACCGCTGTTTTCCGTACACCTGGAGTTGCTTTGTATCGGGTTCAACTGCGGTAAGTTCAGGAGGACAACTTCAGATAAAAGGATGAACGGAAGGTGTGGTGTTACATTATAGCCACGACAGGGTTTGCTTACCATCGATTAAAGAGTTATTGCTTGAATCAATTCGCGGTAGGTAATTCTTGTGATTGCACTAACCAGTTACTTAGAAGTCACTTACTGCTGTTCACCATGATCGCTGGCCAGTTATTGAACTAATTGCAATGGTTTTCTGCCCCCAACAATGAAATCATACTGCACTCATAACGGGCATGTTCGTAGCAAACTTTCAGGACGACACTCAAACTGCTGCAGAGTTTTCAGGGAGACTAATTCACTAGCTTATTTCACTTTGGAGGATATATCTAAACCGCCTTATTCTATGTTGCTCGATGTATTCCGCTGGTTGCCTCATGAGTCACCATTGGCCCAAGTTTTTTGGATCGCAGAACAGTCGTGCCCCGTTCGAGAAAATCCGACCAACTGATCCGAGGAGGGTTGGTGTTAGTTAAAAGATGGTACCTCAACCCATTCACAGAAACGTTGTCTGGAGCGATTGGCTAAACGCCTTAAAAATCCTTACAGCTGTGCCCCATCAACTTACTCTTTGGAAGTACCAAATGAACCCTAGTTGAATGGACATCAGTCCGCCACCGTCGGCGTAAATTTCGCATGCCTTTTTATTGTTTCAGCACAACAAAGCATTTCGGCCGATGGTTTGCACTTCAAAGCAGATGACAAGTCCGTCGTGGCTAACCCTATTTCAAAATATCTGAAATTGGGAAAAATTTCAAAGAATTTTGATTGCCTTATTCAAAGTGGTTTCAAGAACATACAAAAACCATCGGGACATCAGTCCGGTGGCTATAGCTTCCAAGATTCTTTCTGGCATTATCCTCCCCAGGTTGATGCGTCATCGGGAAAGTCAGGTTTCGCGAGAATCAAGTTGGTTTTCGCCCCAACCGGGGTTGCATCGACCGTATCTTCACCTTGCGGCAAGTGTTAGGATTGTGGTACTCCTCCTCGCGACCAACAAAGACCGTATTTCACGATCTGCTTTTGACTCCTTTGATCGTTAGAAACTGTGCGACTTTCCGGGGATGGTGGGTCTTCCAATTCCTGTCCCCTATAAAGGCTTAAGTGCCCCCCTCCCGTAGGCGCGTAGTGTCTACTGCAAATTCCCCCCTAAATTCACCAAATCCAGTCGTGTCACTAAAGGATGCCCTCTATGGCTCTTCCTCTTCGAAATCGTGATCGATGTGTTGCTTGAATTTTATTTACCTGACTCTAGCAACTCAGGGATTGAAATACTATCAGTCACGGATATTGAGTACGCCGACGACATTACTCTTGGATCACTCCCTTAAAATGCACACTATTTTAAGTAGCCTACATATTCCATCAAACAGCTCGGTAGGCGTTTCGAACATGTAAGGTGTAAAGTGCTCCTTCCAAACTTGGTGGGATCAAACCAAAACCTCGGGCTTGCAGGAGAACCGATCGATGCAGTAGATAGGTTTGTGCACCTGGACAGCTGCATAAGTGCCGGCGGTCTGTTCAAAGAAGTCTCTTCCCGAATCGGATAGATCAGGGCAGCGTTTCCTAACCTACAATAATTGTGGTGTCAATATGACATCAGCTTGACCACCTAGGATAGGTTGTCCAGCGCCGCGGTCCAATCTGTCCTACTATATCAATCACAAGCGTTTCCGCTGCCTGTGGAAGACCTTCGATGACTCGGCGTTTGACCGTCGGTGCCCCCAAAGCATTACCAGAGTCTGGTGGGAACACGAGATCAGCAATACCAAAGTTCGCCAAATGGTTTTCGGCGACGGTCGTTCCCCCTAGATAAATAAGCCTGTCCCAATCCACCGGTTACATTAGTTAGACCGTGTATTTGATCTGTCAGTGGACCGTTTGCCTCGTTGATCCCTCCTCACCCAACCCTGTGTCAAAGGTAGATCACCCAGGGACGATCAGTCGGTGGTCTAGAAGCGAAGCATGAAAGCCCAATGGCGTTGGTAAGTACCGTCTCTTCTCTCCTCTTCCCCTCCTCTTCCCTCCTCTCTGAAGATGCCCCTTACTATTCGAGGAGAATCATGGAGGTTGTGGGAAATTTTACATATCTCAGTAGTTGTATTATCTCTGACGGAAAGGTGCCTGATGAATTCAGTGCATGAATCTCAAAGGCTTGAATCACGTTTGCTAGTTTGCGTCACTTGTAGCGTCAAAAAGGCATATCGCTAGATCTTAAGGGTCGCGTGTACCAGGCTACCGTAAGGGCTGTGTTGTATGGCTGCGAGACGTGACTCTTGGGCTTTTGACCACCGATACCTCAGAAGCGTCGCTACTTTTGGATGGCGTCGACGGATTTGTAACGGGGTTATTAGGAAACGGGTATTCGGTTATATAGCAGGTACTATAATTGCGGAAAACATCCACTACCATTAAATTCGGTGTCTGGGTCATGTAGTACGAATGCCGGAACTTTGCCTACCTAGTCAAGTGTTGTCATCCGTGCCTTCTTCACAATGACGGAAACCGCAAGGTGAACATCGTATAACAGAAGGGTGTGGAAAAGATAAAGAAGAGTTTGGGTGTTGTTCGATGGGGTCGTCGTGACCCCCCTCCCACTACGCTTGGCTGGAGACATTGCAAGAATTAGCGGATGATCAATGTTAGTGGCGTTCGCACTGTTATTTTCCTTCCACATTGTCCGATTGAACGCCTGGGGTTCAGACACCTCAGAATGTTTGATATAGGCCAGCACCAGGTCGCCTCCCTCACCCACTATTTTTCCCTTGTTTTCACCCTGAGGGTTAAAATATGAGTAGATGAATTTTACGGTTGTACAACAGTGAAGCATCAGTGTCAACACTGATGTTGCTGTCTCTGCTGTCTCTTGATCAAAGCTATCACCTTCATTGCGTTGATCATAAGCCCTTCCATATCGGACAAACAGAACCTTTCTACTCAATGAGCTGATTGGGCCATCGCCTCCTCATTCCCTTGTTCTCCTTATTTTCGGTGAACAAAGTTATAACGTCTGGAACCACTGCATCTTGATGGGCGTTTTATTAACTTAGTAACTGAGCTGAACTCAAGGCATCCCCATTTGGTTGACCGTACTACTCTACCCTCAGAATTCCTGGTCGAACAATGAAATAGCTCCTACCTTACAGACAAAGGACGCCACTTCTGCGTCAGAACAGCGCTGATTTTAGTTTGATAAGTCCTGAGTTTGGTTCGAAAATCTATCCTTGCTTTGTGCCATGAGATGTTCTTCGCTGGGAGTGAATTCTACTGTTGCTGGTACGCTTCTTTTCGTCATCTTTCTTCTCATCTGTGGGTATCTGAAATCGCTCACTGTTTTGGTCCTACGGTTCTAAATTAACTCGGGGTCCTTTGTTTTTTTTCCGATAGTGGATAAAAATTCATCTAGGGGATGTTGATTTCAAGACTAGCCTGATACCATGCTAACCATCTTCTAGTAGGGCGTATTCGACACCAGAATTTCATGTGTTGTCGCCGAGTTGTACTCAGTGACAATCCCACTATCCAGCTGATGACACACTACCCAATCAACCTGAAGGTGATGAGTGGAGTCAGCCATGCATTGAATTTATAAATGAAGGACGCGTGAATGTGCTTGGCGATGCTTTAATATTCCAGTAACAGCGTGCGATTCGGAATCGCTAATGGGTTGGCAGAATCTGTTCTTCCCTAGGACAACTTAATTTCATTTCGAGAGACGATGAAGTGGCTATCGTATCCATTTCGATACGCCTGTAAAATAGTCCCAGGACTGTCTAATGTGATTGCGAGAGACTTTAAAGTGAAGGAGGTATGTACCGTAGTCGAATGAGATGTGTCAATCCTGTTCTTTATCCGCATATATGGTGAGCGATTTCATTAGGCTAATATGTTACTCGTCTTCAGTTGAGGAGCTTTGTGTTGGAATAAGGAGAGCAAAGACATGGACCAAGCCTCATCAGTATGACCATCCAGATCCTATCTCAAGTCAGAATTCTATTAAATAACCCGCCGTAGTCGTATTCGATTTGTGGAGACGAACAATAGGGTATACTTTTTCCTTTCATAGCGCCCAACCATCTTTTGTTCCCTATCCATAGAAGTGAACCTTTGTAATTGTTCTAGGACAGCTTTTGTAGGGAAGCAGCGGAGCAAACAATCAGTTTACACCCAGTTGGTCTGCTAAAATACAGTGAAGTAGGGGTGGTGAGTCAAGGCGGGGAACGGGAGAAATCTACTAAACATGCATGATCCGGGACTTAGTCACTCTCGTACCGAAATTGTTCTCCTTGTCCGTGACGGATAGAACATAGAGTGACGGATACTAGCGTCGTCACCAGCTGCAAAAATATGGAGTTAGAAGGAAAAAAAGAAAGCCTTCAGCTGTAGCACCCTTTTGGTGCCTAGCTACCGTGCCACCCGAAGGAAGCACGAGGGCTGGGATACTGCCAGGTTGCCCAAGCCTAGACAGGGGAAGTCGAGAGGCGGAGGTCGGATTCGAACCACGGACCTTCCGGTCAGTAAATTCGCGCTCTAACCACTTGGGTCATCTCGTCCAGGGAGAATGCGATCTGACTGGTCGGGCAGTTTTTTGTGATGCCGGGTTGAACCTAGATAGACCATTGTGGAACCATCGTCAAGCTGGACTGCTGGCTATTGACAGTTTTTTCAAGCTTCTCTGGATCACTTGTAACCCGTCAATTTGCAGCTCACTTACTGGACAAACAGTGATGCGTTCGTTGTTTTGTAACTTAGAAATGAGGTTGTCCACTCTTGAATCTTCTGTATACAGATATTCGATGTAACCCTCTTCTGACCCTTGATATGTTCTGCGATCTTCTGTACGCTAAACATAGCCAAAACGAACTAGAGTATCATCAGGCTCGTGAGTTGGTAATGTACTATATAAATATTACAGCAACAGACATTAATATATGACTCTGGGACCATGTACCGGAAACGTCATAGTTCTCATCGGACGTTATCCATTGACATGCCTTTGACAAGGGTCTAATTCCCCCAATATGTATATATGTGTTTCTATATCACGTAATCGACACTTCAAGGGTCTAACAAACTTTTATCGCTGGTCAGAGAGCGGTAACCAGATTTACTACATGTTTAACGCAATACAGCTTCGCTTCGATAGAAACTGCGTTGTCGCTCCATTGTTTCGTTTGGTTATCAACGTTTTTGTCTTCAGCTGCTCGTTTCATCGTCAGTACCCTATTATTTCTTCACCAGACACAAATCCCTTTATCCTACCTGTCGCCACCCTGTGTTATCGGCTGGCGGAACGCCGTTGGAAAGAATACCAGTCCAGATGGACAAGAAGGCTTTCAGGCCGTGTAGACACCAACGAAGCTGAAAATATGTTCGCAGACGAGGCAGAAAATTTGTTAGACGCACTGCGTCTGGTTCGCAATTGTTTGAACCTCATCAATCTAGCGGAGCTTTCGAAAAGCAAAGAAAACGAGATTAGTGAGTCTGCATCCACAGGACTGTCAGACTTGAAAATCCGAGCGGTTTTGCTGATGTGTCAACTCTATCTGATCACGCCGTCGGATATGATAGCCTCCTGCATTCGTCAACTTCAGTCCATTGTGGAGTGCGGCCGCGAGGTTCGTGCACTTTGCCTTCTTTACTGACATGCAGTGTCTCTCTGGTTTCTTAATGTCAATAGACCTAATTAGTATGACGATTGTGGGCATCCTTTTCTTTCAAACCAGCATTCTCACTGGCCTCTTGGCCACTTCAGTCGTTTTTCGTTCACATTAACCCTCTATCTTGAGCTCATCGGACTTCGGTGCAGTACACATGATACCTTGTGACTCGACTTTACCCCTAATGTCCCGGCTACTCCGGTAACTTCAGGCCGCATACAAGTTGCGTGACGGCTGTGCTAAGGGCGAGATGGTTCAGTGGTTAGAGTGCGAATTTACTGACCGGAAGGTCCGTGGTTCGAATCCGACTTCTGCCTCTGAACTCCTCTTATCTAGGCTTGGGCAACTTGACAGTATCCCAGCCCTTGTGTTTCCTTCTGGTGGCATTACAGTTAAGTTCCTAAAGGCTGCTACAACTGGACGATTTTATTTCATGGCTGTGTGCTAAAGAGACACCACTACCGAAAAGTAAGATTTTTCCTTAATTCAAACCGATATTGGCATTTCCTGGGTAGCTTTTCTCTAAGGTGTTTTGGAGACAGATTATAATTTTTCTGAGTGCGTACTAGCCACCGGAAAGTTGATTTCTCCTGAGTTTTCTCGTAAGGAGACACCGATGTACAAAGTTATTCTAGAGCAAATTTCCAGGATTTCGGAAAGATTTCTGGACAATTCGCTGGGTGTAAAATCCACGGTTAGGGCGAGACGCACCAAGTGGTTAGAGCGCGAATTTACTGACCAGAAGGTCCCTGGTTCAAACCCGACCTCTGCATCTCGACTTCCCCTGTCTAGGCTTGGAGAACCTGGCATTATCCCATCCCTCGTGCCTCCATTCGGGTGGCATGGCAGCTAGGCACAGAAAAGGTGGTACAGCTGGAAGACTTGAAACGCATGAAATAGCGACTGCGTGCTAAGTAGCCCTTATCATAACCATATTTTCACGCTTTTAACCGACTTCTTTTTATATCAAAAAAACAACTTGCAAGTCCCACACTCCCATAGTTTCAAACATGGACAAAGTTCTCATTTCCCCAATGTTTACCTTAATCATGCATTTGATCTCACCTTCAGGTCACTGTGGTACCTGTAAAAGACCTAGTTGCCTGTAAAGAGTTGAATGACTTTCACGGTCCACCGCCACTGGAATCTGAAGAGAGCAATCTGGACAATTGTGAACTACCACATGAAGACGAACTGGTCATAAAATCGTCCAAACGAGCAAAACGTCGTTTGTTGGGCAATATTCTGATGGAGGCATTGAAGTCTTCAGACACGAGCCGGATGTCAGAGTTAGCCATTGCGGTCAGTTCTTCACTTTTTCGAGTTCTGTCCTTCTGTTGACAGTGATATAAAAGTTTTATTTCCGCCTCATGAAAATATCGTCCAGCCGCGATGGTCCAGGACTGTGCCCTATTTAGAGTTATAGGTATATAAGTATAGACTTCCTTGGGATGCTAGGTTTGGCCGCTCGTGTCAAATAGGTTATCTCAAATTCATCAGACTACATTCCATTCCATTATGGTTTCCTCTTCATCATCATCAATCACCAATGACGGCAGCACGAGATAATACTGTTGCTTCGCTGCCTTTCGTAACATCGTTCATCTCTTTTTTGTCATATCGAATTCTGTTCACCTCTAGGTTTTTGATGCCGCTCGACGGGGCTTTATTTTCTGCCTTGATAACGCGCACAGCGTGTTACAGGAGAGAGATATACTTAAATTCCAGGACACATGTGACTGCCATATAGTAGTGCGAGATGCTCATGCAGTTTAGTTCGAAAAGATGAAGATCAGTGATATTCATATCTAGAATAGCTGGAAAAGCTTCTTGGTTCAAACACTGTTTTACGTGTCTACGCAGCTGTGCGTAGACGGTTGCGTTTTCGCATTCCGGAGCGGATTTACATTGATTGACCATAGACTTTGGTTCAGTGGAATCCCGTTTTGGCCGGGAATAATAGTCGTTTTGGCCTGCACCGGGGCTTGACACAATCCACCATGTTTGATAGGTAATTGTTTGCCCGGGTGTGAGTGTGCCGTGCAGATTCCTTTCTTGGAATACACTGTCCACAGACCTAACGCTTGATAGTTTATTGAACGCACGCGAACAGCACGCCAATGTGGACTTCGCCACACCGGTAGAGGATCTGAAACATCTTAAGGTCTTTAGTTGCCGGTGTCTCAGAACTGTAAGTGGAATCGGATGGAACCAACGAATTCACAGTAGGTGCTCAGAAGACGTGTCTTCGGTGAAGCAAACGGTACTTCACTCAAAGAATGCATCCAGACTTGCAGGCTAAGTTGGCTTGGCTATCTGTTACGCATACCGAATTACTGCCCGCCGAGATCAGCGTTGTTTTCCGTACCTAATTCAGAGTGCCGGAAACCTAGAGCTGAACAGATTTCAGTGGCGCTCGTGCCATGAGTTTCTATCCAGATTGCCTTGCTGAGTGTTGAAGATGTAGGCAGATAACTCGGTTGTTTGTAGTAAGTCCCTCACCCTATCCTATTCAAACACACTGACTTGTTTATACAGCAGTGAAACACCAGTGTTCCGCTATGGCGTTGCTGTGAGTGTTGTTGCTTGTCAACTAACTAACTCCTGTTAATCGAATTGAATCCTGGTACTGACATACTGCTAATTGTCGCTCGAAATCTTTACTCTTCAGATGAAGGCGTAAGCAAATGCAAATAAAATCATCGCTCCTTCAAGAACATGAACAAGACAAATCAGGCAAGACCTTTGAAATATTCATAGCTACGGTTCCTACCGGGAGACACGTTTCAGACCGCGTATACAACGCTCAAAATAAGCCACAATCGAAGAGAAGGGATATGTGTTTCTTCTGATAGCAGTACCGGGTGACGAGTGATTGAGAAAGAACTAAGTTCGAACACAATCTTCCCTACGTATTAGGCAGCTGACCGATCGCTCATCTGTTCGGCAGACAGTGTACTTTATCTGTGATCCATGATGTTCCCATGCGCGATCTTGAGTTTGTTTGCGTCGAATATTAGTTTGGTTATCCTCCAACCAATGATATCTCTGCCTGTATCAAATACACTAAACGACCTAGGAACCTAGTTTGTTATGTGCAAATACATGTGTCCTCTCCTTGCACCGGATGATAAGAACCACCAGGACTGAAATTGGATGCGTCGTTACGATTTCACAATGGCAACAAAAGCCTCTTATCATTCTAGCATTCAGACCCGTCACTCTTATTTCTGTTTCCTCAGGTTGGGTGAGCCTGGCTAGCTTCAACTCATCAAGGTAAATACCAGGAAAGTAGCGGATTGGTTGGGTTTTTTACTGAAGGAGATTTTTTGTTTACCTAGGAAGTAAGATTGCTTGGATCGGTGCTAACCGGTCCTCGAAATCTATTAAACAACCTAATGGTCACTTATGACACGCTGACGATCGTAGTTGTCCCTTGTTGATATTATTTGTTTTTTACTATTTATTATTTTAGATAATCGAATCATGCAACGCAAATTTGCCAGTTGCTCCGTCGAGTTCCCCCATACTGGACATCATACCACCGTTGACGAATGAACGACCCACCAATTCAACATCCGACATCTTGACTCGTTTCCAATGTTCCACCCACGAAACCCTACCTACAATACTACTACCAATCTCCATGTTAAAAATCTATTTGTGCAAAGCCCAGGAGTTCTGGCTGCGCAGCCAACAGAATCTTTCCGCAAAACCCAGCGCACCGTCGACTTGCGCCAACCATCTGAAGATGGTTATTCGCTATACGATCCCGTCTTTGCTGGTATTAGGTAAGTTGCTTCAGCTGTTTATTTATTCGATGCATTGTTGCTCATTCGTTCAGAGGATTTGCCCTGTGGTGTAGTTTTCATGATGTTCTTTATGCTACTCAAAACACTGAGGGTGTAGTAGTAAACGCGGCTCACAAGCTACGGATGGGTTTGTGATGTGACTGATGTACACCGGCTCACAAACATCAGGACGTCGAGTTTGATACCAGAACTCTATGCCTTTTCGCACTGGCGCACCAATCATCCTGAACTCACCGAATTTCCCTAAGAATGGCTTTTGAAGCTTATCAGGCATGTACAAGAGTCCATCGAACAGCCTACGTGGAACAACACAGATTCCGAAGTTGTGCTCAGAACAAAGGTTCTGCGGCTTTAACCTCACGAAATCCCATGTTCTTACATGTTTCCTAGTTGTTTAGTTACTAGATCCCCCCGCGACGGAATCAGGTGACCACAGCTTTCTTACTTGCCCAAGAAACTAGAAACTATCCCAATGCCTACTCCTGTTTCTGCTAGTTTTGTGCAGACAAACAGAAAATGTTTGCAAAAAACAATACGACTACTCTTACCCTGGCTGCTGATCGACCGAAACACCCATTCCTCTGTGTTTGGTTTATCCGTATCAAACCAGAAATTGAATGGAGTATAAAGCCATTTTCTGGTATACCTGTCATCCATTGTTTTTTTGTAATTTGACAGTCAGTAGCTCAATTCTTGTTTCCTACGGGTTATGTAGCAAGCAGCGACGACAACGTATCCAATACAATCACGTAACACGTCTTTGTCCGGATGCATTTTCCTATAAATTAGCCGTGCTTCGAATGGGATCTTCCTCTAGTTCTTTAGTTCTAGAAGAAATGTCGAGTTAAAGTGCTCTTCCGAAATATTTTGCGCCGCTCTTTTCGTTCGTAGCAATTCAGGCTAACCGATGCATGAAAGTTTGTAGGGTCACCAAACCCGTCACAACCGTGTAACAGGGGATCGTTGTAGTGCATAGTCCTTGTCCGCCTCAACTGGATGGGATAGCTCTTTTCAGCTTGTATGCCATGTAGGATCCAGTCTCAGCATCTATACCTACATGAACGAGCACAATCTTGCAGTCTTCAAGCTCCTCGGGACGAGATTACCCAAGTGGTCAGAGCGCTAATCTACTGGCTGGAAGGTCTGTGGTTCGAATCCGACCTCTGCCTCTCGACTTCCCCTGTCTGTGCTTGGGCAACCCGGCAGTATCCCAGCCCTCCTGCAACCTTCGGGCGACATGGCAGTTAGGCACCGGAAGGGTGCTACAGCCTAACTATTTCTCTTTTATTGAAGCTCCCATGTTTTTACGATAAACTCCCACTAATGTATGAATCTCCAACCGACCAGTTAGTTTCCATAAATCCATCACCCTTCATTTAGTCGGGCTCTCACTTCTTGGGCCTGCAGTTCATCGAACCGTTTATCCACTGGTCGCCAGTTCGCTGGATTTATCAGACGAAGCGATACGTAAGCCAGCGATGTGGGTGGGGACAATGGATAAATATGTGCTTCAGTTTAGTGCACAACCAGATCAAACCAAGCTGTTTTTTAATGAACCAAGGGTAAAAGATTGAACGTGCACACTACTGCTGTTTTAATCTTGATAAGAGAAGATAATCGCTTACTACACAGTCCGTTGACCAATACGGAACATTCACTCTTCGTCATCCTTCAAGGAAAAGAACCACCGGCAATAGAACTATGCAGCAAACGAACGTACGGGATTGCTATTGGCGGTAATGTGGTTCGAAACTGCATAACTCAGTTCACACACCTTGTGACGGGTTTAGGTGAACTACTACTCCAGCCAACCACAGGAAACAAACGGAAATTGTCACAGCTTGGTACAAAAACATAAGTACTATACGGTATGACAATGCACTATTTGGTTCAATTAACTGTTTGCTACTTCTGGACTTGTGCCATTACTGATATTAATAGGTGTAAGTTTCAGCTGTATATGACCTTCTAGATAAGCTCATTGTTATCCCTTTCTATGACTAGGCTGTTGCCTTACTACCCCATTACACCGTTTCTGGATGTTCTCTTCTGTTTTCGCAGAACATATTGTTCCCGACAACCATACTGAGAGTTTCTCAGTAACACTGCACTGCATGTGTCCTTACTGTGAATCTACTGGAATTCCCGAGTACCCTCCGTCCCCAGTTCTGGATCGCCGGTTACTCGTCGATTTGATGTATACTGCTAGCTGCCTTTTTCCGGCCTCACTTATATGTTACGCAGATGCAGTTCGGGAGTCCGCTTCTGAACAACGCGCTCATCTTTCCGATTCAATCCAGTTGGAGCCAGCGGACTGTCTATTGCTGCGCGCTTCTTGTCCCTCCAGTGCGGCCTCTCTGCAATTCTTGTTTGAAGCGACGATACGCGGACCACTGGAAGCATCTTCGGTAATTCCGTTTTCCAAATAATTTAGCTTTTTCCATTGCCGTGATCATTTTACGCTGGGCATTTCACTTTCTCCAGTTGATTGTCTGGTTGTAACAAAACCAGGCGATCAGGAGTATCTTTGGCTGGCTTCCACCTGAATCCAGCCCCTGGTCAAGATTTGTCCAAACCCGGTTTGCTTTACGCAAGATACGAATGCTTCTACGCAGACTTGAGAAGGCGCTTCAATCGCAGTGTTGTTCCCGGGGATCAGTTCGGTATATAATCAGAGTATTAGTGCATGAAATGGGTTCTGGTGAGTCGGGTGTGAGTGTTTATAGGGACCGTGGGTACAGAACTGGTCGGTGGAATTTTTGTCCTTATTTTCATTCGTATAATTCAACTGCTTTATAAGTTCCCAGAGCACAACGAGTAGATTGATCGATGTACGCATTATTACAACACTCAGTTTTGCAAAAAAACAAACAAATTCAGCTGGATTAAAAAGGTGAACGCGTTTCGGAGAGACGGACAACCTAAGAAAAAATTTCTCGTAATCCTCATGATCAACGTCGTCTAATTATGAGAAAAAACCAAATTAGTTTGCGAATGAGTGAATATTCGCTAATTTCGTGCAATTTGGTTTCAAGTGTACGTGATCGAATCTACTGTCAGGAGCAGCGAAAGTTCCTACGAGTGATCGTGTATGCCGAATAACCTTAGAACGCTGACATGCTAGGCAGGTCTTAGTCCATTCACGTATGTCTTTGTTCATTTCCGGCCATATGAAACGCTGAGAGATGAGTTTAAGCGTTGAACGTATACTTGGATGCGAAACATTATGTAATGACTCGAAAACTTGCCGACGCATGGAGGGTGGGACTAGGGGTCTTGGATTAACTGTCCCAGTATCACAGTCTATAGTTCCTGGTGCGGTTTGTAGCGGCATCGGTTGTATCTTCAGGGATGACTTCGAACTCAGTGGCGTCGAAGCTAATTCCTTTTTTTGAAGTTCCGCCATGCGATTGAGATCAATGCCGGGCGTACGGTGTAGCGAATCTACTGCCGGCCTTGACAAGGTATCGGCAACTATGTTATCCCGACCTGAGACGTGTCGAATGTCGTTGGTGAACTGCGAAATGTAGTCCAAATGGCGAATTTCACGCGGAGAATATTTGTCCGGTGTAGCTTTTAGTGCTGAAGTCAATGGTTTGTGATCCGTATATACATGAAATTCGCGACCTTCCAGTAAGTGTCGGAAGTGACGGATGGATAGGTAAATAGCGAGCAGTTCACGACCAAACGTGCTGTAACGGGACTCGGCTGACGACAGTTTATGAGAGAAAAATGCGAGG